GGTCATAGCCTCAAAGGGCCTAGTATGCCTATTACGTCTAAATGTCACTCCAGACCAAAAATGGGACTCGTATATTCGTTCCCTAGCTAAAGATACCGAAAGAATGTTGTTTCCGTGTATCACTCTAAAAAATATCTAACTCCTGCTGTAATGCTCTGATTTTGCAAGAGTTTTATCAGACATGGGATGGGATATTGTTTCCATATCTGGGCTGGTGCTGTCCAGTCACCTCTGTTCACGTCGACGGGTTGTGCAAGGAAGCTGTTGACCCTACAGAAAGTTTCATGCGGTTTTTTAATCGACACATGACAAAAAAAAAGTACTTGTATAAAAGTTAAATTTATTGTCAAAATCTTTTATTGAAGAATACCAAATTAAATTTAATAAGCAAAATAGTTAAGTCTTTTTCCTATCACGAGTAAAACAATCTCCTATGCATGTGTATAATCCCTTAACACACACACACACACACACACACACACACACACACACACACATATATATATATATATACGCTTCATTAAATAATATAGACAAGTGATCCTAGCAAAAAAATTAAATTAATCATATACTACACTAAATCTAGTATATCCAACTTAATTCTTCGCAATGATTCTTCTCCCCCGGTTAGCGATTTGCAAAAAAACCAACATAGTTTATAAATTCAAGTGACCTTTGGGAGAGTGTATCTCCAACGAATTAAATAATATTTATGTTAGTCACACCACAAATTCGCTTTCATGACGCTTGACACTACATTTGAATGAAAACTCTAACATTTTTAGGCATTTGAAACAACATGCCTGCCCGCACACACTATTCCGTAAAATACTTGTCGAAAACACAATTATACTTCGACATGAAAACAATAGACAAAAACTAAAAATCCTTGAAGCATTATACATCAAACAGTTGAAACCCAACCTAAACAAAATCAATTATGGAATCTCTACAAATATTCTTAAATGTCTATAATTGGTAACAGAAGCCATTGGTTTATACCAACGGCTTTCATACTTCTCCAATTCACTCTCGTGTGGTCATGTGTGACGTCATGAGATGCGGTGCGATTTTCGCTTCTAGCGTCTTATATGCACGTGTTTATCGTTGCTTAGAAATCATCTATGTAAACATTGACAGACTATCATCACTGTCTTGTCCGTATATTGCTTAATATGTTGTAATTGACCTCTTTGATAATGGCTTATGTAAGCCGAAAGCTTAGATTGTATTAAAAAAATATGGATCAATATTGTGAATTTCTTTCTTCGTTCAACGATAATGTTATTAAACTTTACAGACGTTATGAAAAAAAATTCACATAAAATAAATAGACAACACTTGTCTATATTATTTAATGAAACGTGTATGAATGAAAAGATGCTGCCTAAATACACACAATATACAATATATATATATATATATATATATATATATATATATATATGAATTGTGTATTTAGGCAGCAATTCTTTATTTATGCATGTTTCATTAAAAACGACAGACAAGGTACTACGATTTAAGCTTTTATTTAATTTTTCTTGTATTGGAACAAATGTTTTCTTTTTTGGGCACAGAGTGTGTAGAAACTGTCCAAATGTTCGATAATTCTGAGCGCTTTCGGCTATAATTTTAGCCATTATCAAGGATGATTTTATTTTTTTCAATTCAATTGGATGTGTGCGGTGTCTGTATGATTTTAGTGTTAAAAAGATGTTTTATTTTCCGAACACAGTTAGCACATTTTGGCCATGTTCGTAGTTAATATTATTAAGCGTTGGCTTTTTCTTTATTATTATTATTATTAAGGCTTTTATTTCTTTTTTTATTATTAAAATTCGTATACTCGTCCCATAGCTAAAGATATTGAAAGAATGTATCACTCCCGAAAATGCCTACCTCTGTTCAACGTCGACGGGTTGTGCTAGGAAGCTGTTGACCCTAAAGAACGTTCCATCCGTTTTTTTTTAATCGACACATAACAAAAAAAAATAAACTTGTAAAAAAAATAAATTTATTGTCAAAATTTTTTAGCTATTTTTAAGAAGTAAATTGTTAAAAAGATTATTTTTGCGCGTTCAGTACAAAGGATATGGACCCAAAGCCACTACCAAAAGCCCCGGAATGTTCTTTATCTCACCACATAGTAATGTGAAGCCGTTTTTTTTTTTCGACAATATGCAACAAATACTGAGCTCCTCTTCACATGGACTCAGACATTTAGCTCACACTGCAAAACACAAATCTATGTATTGAGGGTTTAATTATCTCAAAACATATCCTAGTTTCTCATTAATATTGTTGCTAATTCATTCTTAATTGGTATTCTAAATTCTAATTGCCGGTTTTTTCGACAATATGCAATAAATACTGAACTCATCTTCATATGACTTCAGAAGCAAAACCCAGTTTCTCATTAATTTTGTTGCTAATTCATTCTTAATTGGCGTTATAACTTCTAATTGTTACTATGCAATTAAAGAATGCATACAATATAATACGTAAGTGAAGTCCCGAAATTTTGTTTCATTAAGAATCAGATAGGATAGAGAGTTCTGTTTTTGCAGTTTGGCTAATCAGCGATATGAGACTGTAAGATGAGGTTAATGGGAAAACAAGCTGAGAACCCCTGGTTTATGGAGTAAGAACAGGCCTGTAGCGAGAGTCTTTTGATTAGTGGGGCTGGTCTTAAAGTCAGGGGAGCCGCAAGTAAGAATTGACGCAGTAAAATTCGTTCACATCATTTTCACAGCGGGTAAGCAAATGATTTTCAGTGGAATAAGCCCACCCCATTTAGCGACGTAGGTAGCAATCCCTAACGCAGAATACTTTTACAATTTTGCAGGCTATAGGATTGTTCTTGTATATCTAATTAATTGTGTAAAACCTTTGGTCGAGTAAGCGCTACTAAAAAAATGCCTGTACCATAATTGACAAGAATGAAAAATTAAGACAATCAGCATGTATTTAAAAAAAAAACAAACAAACACCGCTAGTGGCAATGTTAATCAACTCAAATCTGCTTTCATCATTAAAGATTACTTAGAAAATCAACTTTTGCTTTTGCCTTGTAGAAACTAGAGAAGAATTCAAAACCGAAAATATGAATAGTGTGTCGGTACAGTGCCGGATTTACCTATGGGCTTCGCAGGCTGAAGCCTAGAGCCTCAAAGTCTAGGGGGCCTCCAAAACATGGTGTCTATTTTTGATACTTCTAAGACATGCACTCATAACGCATTGTAGACAATAAACAACACATAAGTAATTTTAAACACCCGTCATCATCCCCAGCTTTACTCAAATTGTTTAATTTAACGCTCTTCCATTTTCCTCTCTGCTCGTAAGAATGGGGATTTGGATGAGCCTCACAATTGGAATAGCCTAGGGTCTATCTTCATTTAAATTCGGCCCTGTGTCGAGGTTGACATCACCTAGAAGATTGTCAACGCTAAACGTCTTATGTGAAAACCTGGGAAAAAGAAAAATCAGTTTATTTGTTTTTAGATATTAAACATTTTGTTGGGTGGACAATTATGCTGTTACACGATTTGGACAATTTTGCTGTTACACCTGGTACATATGCATGTATGTATATATGCATGTATGAACGAAAACGAGTGCGTGACCTCATGGGAAGTTGTCCTCTTCTTTACCATTTGACCACACCCAAAAGAGAAAGTCCCTTCTTTGTTCAGCAAATTGTGTTTTATATTGCTGTATTATTTTCGTATACTTTCAGGAAATGCCTCCGTCTTGTTCCGATATTTAGAGCCTCTAAATTTAGACGAGCCCATCAGACACACATAAGAAAGTGTGTCAATGTACGAGTTGTGGTCAGGAAGACATTCATTGGTAGTTATTAGATTTCCTCGTTTTTTGTTCTTTTAGAAGAAGCAAGGAACGAAAATGAACCAAAAAAAAAGAAAGCCCTGGATGACGACATTAGGCATTTATTTCTTAACGGATATAAGGGCTTTCATTGGTCAGCGATGGGAAATAGTAGCAAGTTTAGTTTTATATTGTGTCAAATGTCGACGACAGTATAGTGGTTCATTGACCTAATCTATTATCCCCATATTGGATGAAGACACGTACAAAAAAGTCTATCTATCTATCTATCTATCTATCTATCTATCTATCTCAGTCAGTTCATATCTATTTATCGATCGATCGATCGCAGTCTGTTTATATCTATCTATCTATCTCTCTCTCTCTCTCTCTCTCTCTCTCTCTCTCTCTATCTATCTATCTATCTCAGTTTGTTCATATCTATCTATCTATCTATCTATCTATCTATCTATCTCGGCTTTTTGCTATCTATCACAGTCTGTTCATATCTATCTCTCTATCTATCTATCTATCTATCTATCTATCTATCTATCTATCTATCTATCTCAGTCTGTTCATATCTATCTATCTATCTATCTATCTATCTATCTATCTATCTATCTATCTAATTCGAACATAAATGCAATTGGCTTATGCATGTTGCGAAGGGATAATTTCTTTTTATATTTTTGCCTGATTGGTTGGACACAGTTAATTGAACTTCAGTAAAGTCCAGAAAGACAATCCAGGGATGAGCTAAAATGATTTACTATTATTTACGCTTATCTATCTGCATCTTTCTTACAATATCTCTCTCTCTCTTTCTCTCAACACCTCTCCCTCTCTCTCTCTCTCTCTTCGCATCTTTCTCAATGAATACATTCTACAAACGAAGAAGAACCTCTTCACGCTCAGCTAATTTTTCAATAATATGATTGCATCTGTAAATTTTTATCATCTAAAAAAATTACAAAATATTTCCAGCTTTAAATAACCTTAAGGTCGATAAGACGTAAAAAAATCAATCGATCCAATGAAGAGAGCGCAAAGGCTATATCAATTTCCAGGATGACCCAAAACATAATGAAACGGACTTTAAAGAGATAAAACAAATCAATATATGATGCAGGGTTTTTAATGAATGGATGAGAAACTTGGGAATTAAAAGTGCTATGGTCCGGTTCCTTGTACCACGGTGATAGTCCAAGATAGAACGAATAAAGAAGAACTCGAACACAGTTATGGAATAACACAGATATATTAAAAACAGGAATATATACAGAGAAGTAGAAGTGTTAGTATGAACAATCAGGTTTAGTAGAGAGAACAATGTAGTCTCGACCAGTATCAATATTCCAATGTCTTGCAGTAATTGTCTGAACGGGACTCTGTTTCGGACTGACTCTGGCTCGACTCTTGACTCGACTTGAACTACTGACTCGACTTGAACTACTGACTCCTGGCCTACTCCTGAGGCGCAATATTAAGTATGGAATAGTCCATTATTATTATTAAGGGTAAGATCTCATAACAAAAAGAAAATCACTTTTTTGTCCTTTTAGAAGAAACAAGGTTAAAAAGAGCGAAAAGAGTCCCAGGAGGACGTCAGTGTGTATTTATTTATTAACGGATATAAGCAGGGTTGTCGATCAGCGATGGGAAATAGTAAGTTGGGTCGTATATTAAGACAAATGCCAACGACAATGCGGTGGTTCATTGACCTAATATAAGATCCCTGTACTGGATAAAGACGCGAATAATCTCTCTCTCTCACTCTGTATATATATATATATATAATTATTTATTTAAAAATATGATTCCAAATCGCGACATAAGAAGTCTCATGTTTCAAAACAACTTCAATATAATATATATCTACTTTTGTATCGAGCACTATTTTTTAAAAATAATAACTAAAATCTTAAGGGACTTTGGATTATTTATCTAACCAGTTCCTTCCTATTTTCTATATATTTTCACACACACACACACACACACACACACACACACACACACACACACACACACACACATATATATATATATATATATATATATATATATGAAGAAAATATCTGGAAAAAAAAATCCTTAAAATGCGATTATGTTGTTTTAATATTTTAAGGATTTTTGTTTTGTTTTTCCAGATATTTTCTTCATTCTGTCGGATTTATATCCATTTATATTTGCTTATCATATATATATATATATATATATATATATATATATATATATATATATATATATATTGATTTAAATAAACATTCTTTTATTCATTTTTTTTAAATATCCTGACCTAGGCTGCCTTTCGGCCAACGCATCATCAGGGACCAATCATTGGCAACTTTTAACTCATTTGAATTGATAAGTGATAGTACTGGAACGCGTTTAAAATTACGAAATAAGTAAAATTAAGAAATACGTGAGGTTTATTTTTTTCTATTTATGCCCCACTGGATCAGAATATTTTTTTTTTTTATTTATTTACGTATTTTAATCGTAAATTCATTTTCATTTTTTTTAAATTTTACGTATTTCGTAATTTTAAACGTGTTCCAGTATTATCTCTTATTAATCCAAATGAGTTCAAAGTCAAAATTATGTTTATTTGAATAAATATTCCTGTTCTGTGGTATCAGGTCTTTGTTTCAATATATATATATATATATATATATATATATATATATATATATATATATATATATATATATATATATATATTTCAAGACATTTTTATATTTATACATTCTTTTATAGACACAAATATTTAAGTAAATGCTCTATTTGTACCTATAAAAAGAATGTATAAACATAAAGATGTTTTAAAATAATTGTCGGACTTTTTCTATCTATCTAAGTCTGTCCATATCTATCTATCTAAGTCTGTTCATATCTATCTATCTATCTATCTATCTATCTATCTATCTATCTATCTAAGTCTGTTCATATCTATCTATCTATCTATCTATCTATCTCAGTCTGTTCATATCTCATTGCGCTTTTCTTGAAGTAGACATTATATATATATATATATATATATATATATATATATATATATATATGCATGTTTTATTAAAAACGACAGACAACGTACAGTTAAGCTTTTTATTTAATTTTTCTTGTGTTCGAACAAGAGCTTTCTTTTCTGGACAAAGGGTGTGTAAGAACTGTCCAAATGTTTTATATTTCCGAGCGCTTTCGGCTATACCTTTAGCCATTATCAAGAATGATTCGATTTTTCAGCTTACTTGAGTGTGTGCGTTCTGTGTATGTATCAGTGTGTGGTAGGGATGTTTTTAATTTCCGAAAAAGGTTAGCACATTGTGGCTTTGTTCGTAGTTAATATTGTTAAGAGTTGGTTTTTTCTTTTTAAAGCTTCCATTATTTTTAGACTTTTTTTGCAGGTGGATGCAGTTAATATATTTGTGTTTTCTACTAGTATGTTCCTAATAGAGTCAGGTAAATTTGTGTGTGTGTTTAAATGGGTTCTAATGGAGCTGTGATCAGATAGGTGTAACGTAAGACGTCTGCATAAGCATGTGGTTGTGTAACCGATATAATTATTTATGAGTCCGGTTTGATCTGGAACACACACACACACACACACACACACACACACACACACACACACACACACACACATATATATATATATATATATTGTTAAACTTCAACCGTTTTTAACTTCTGTCTAGACCTAGACTTGTTTATATTCTGTCTTCCTGTTCCCCCTCACTATTTTGGTGTTTTTTTTCTTTTTTTCTATCTCCCTCGTAAATGCCTTTCCCCCACCTTATTTGTGGTTTGTTTTCCTCTCTTTTTTTCTTTCTTTCTATCCTTTTTTAATTTTAAAATAAAAAAAACATAACCTTACGATTCATTTTTTTCGTCAAACGTTTTAGTATTGACAAGCTCCAGGGAATTTATCCCGAGGAGCGAAATGGCCATAAAAATGTGCTACAACTGAGTTTCATTTATATCTAATTAATTTCTTGCTCTATAATAAATATATTTAGCGCTCTCTGTTGTGGAGAAGTTTAATATTTTATATTAATAGGATTCACTTGGATTACTTACCCACGAATTTTTACCCATATATCTTTTAAATAGCAGAGATTGTGCTGCCAAATTCAGTGTCGACTGGTTCACCGTGTTGGCCCGGTCACACTCCGTATTTCATCTTAAGGTTCTGGAGGCGCTTTACATCGGGTCCCGCAAGCCTTCTTTGTGCAAACAACGTGAGTGTTTGCTGGGACTCGCTGTCATCTGCCTCTAGTTCCTTCTTGCATATATTCAGGTATATATATGTACATATATGTATTTTTTTTCCCCACCTATTCTGATTGTACCATCTCTGTTTTAATTTTGAATCTCCCGTGGAAGCCTGATGAGCGGGAGCGAAACCGGTTGCTTCCCCACCTTGTTGTTGAGTGTTTTTTTTTTTTTATTTATTTAACATTTTTTTAATATGTCTTGTAATATTAAATTTTACACTTTTATTTCGATCATTAAATTTTGTACTTACAAAAAATATCTTTAAATATGTATATATATATATATAATGATTTTATAACATATTTCTGTTATAATTTTCAAATAAAAATATATATATATATATATATATATATATATATATATATATATATATATAATTATTTATTTGAAAATAAATAAAATAATATTATAACATATTTATGTTATAATTTTCAAATAAATATTTATATATATATATATATATATATATATATATATATATATATTCGAAAATTATAATATAATTTGTTATAAAATCACTAAAAAATAGCAATTTTGTTTCAAAATTTCTCGTGTCGTATCAAGTGATGGTGTTGAATGTAGAATAAAGATCTTTAAAAGGTTCAAATCAATCAAACACCCCCCCCTCGCTAGGAGAAACGCTGTTACACCAGAAGTGTTGAAACAAAATGGCTATTTTTGTAGTGATCTTATAACATATTTATGTTATAATTTTCGAATAACTAATTATATTTACTCCACTCTGTATTGAGCACTCTTTCAAGAATAGTATTTGTTGGTTATTGGAATTTATTCCGTATACATAATCCTAATCCTATATATATATATATATATATATATATATATATATATATATATATATATATATATATATTAAAAGAAATGGACAAGGTCCGACAATTTATTTATTAAAGACATTTTTATGTTTAACGTTGTTATTTATAGATACAAGTATTTAAGCAAATGCTCTGTTTGTGATAAATAACAACGTGAAACTTAAAAATGTCTTTAATAAATATATTATAAATTAATTGATTTAAAATGTTTTTTTTTCGCTACACAGTTCCAACCATGTTTCAAAAATAGAAGCTAAAAACCCCGAATTTAATTTTGCAATTAAATTAAAAGCATTAGTTCCATTTCATTGAAACATGGTTGGAACTGTGTAGCGAAAAAAAAACATATTTTAAATCAATTAATTTATAATATTAATGCTCTGTAAATTTATATTGAGCACTATTTTGTAAAAATAAAAATATCTATAAGAACACCGGATTCTATATCTTACTGTTCTTTAGATATATATATATATATATATATATATATATATATATATATATATATATATATATTGAACAATAAAAAATATTAAATAAATTAAAATCTTCAGACACACTGGGTTGTAGATTAATATTCTTTCGTTTTTTTTATTATTATTTCATTTAGATTCCTCGACTAGTTTCGGCCAAAATGGCCATCATCGGGAGAAGAAATATTTCTACAGAAAACTACAGAAATGAATATCTTGATGTAGAAAATGAACTTTTTTCTGTAGTTTTCACTTGTTTTTTTAATTTTTTTTATCTTTTTAACATGAATCTTTTAACATTCCTTGTGTTGGTCAAACAGTCTCTTTTAAGTTGTTATTTGAGAGATAAGATATATATATATATATATATATATATATATATATATATATATATATATATATATTCAATATATGAAGCCTATATTAGGTCAATGAACCACCGTAGTCTTGTTGATATTTGACTTAATAAAGATCTAAACATACTATTTCCCGTGGTTGACCAACGAATGTTTCTGTATCCGTTAAGAAATAAATACACACCGTCGTCATTCTGGGATTTCTCTATCGTTATTTTTATCTTGTTTCTTCTAAAAGAACAAAAAAATCGATTTAAAAAAAAAATTCCAATGCTTCCCCCACTCCCCGTGGAGTTGGTATCCAATACTTTTATAGCAATTGCTTTGTTTACGTTTCGCGTATGAAAGCGAGCAGATACGGGCTTTTGAGAAGATTTGAGCAAATTAGTGTACATTGCTGAAACGTTTAAATTGTTGTGCACCCGTTCTCCGCACCCGAGCTGTCTAAAGCACGTCGGATCAGTTGATGGTTTCCCCTACAATGGGCGACGCAACCTGAATTGTTATTTAACCTATAACTGATATGGATTAATAATCTTTGCTGGGGTATTTTTTTACAAAAGTGAACGTAACGGACCCTGACTGGAATTCGAACTCGGCTCGTCGATTTATCGCTAATTGTTACATCATTTTCACCTCCCCTAGCTGGATGGTAGAAACTATTTTTTTTTTACTCTTAAAATTTCAGATGTCTCTTTCTGATTCTAAGTGTAAGTGTCTCTTTGGTTTACATTTTCTGTAAAACTTCATTGTTCACATGTTCGGTCCTTGGTATTCTCAGTATCCTTCTGTAGAACCAAATTTCCGTGGCTCCAAGTCTCTTCTTCATCTGTGAGGAGATTGTTCAACATTCACCCCCATAGATAGTGGTTAGTAAAATGGTCCATCTGCTGTTCCGTTTTTAGAGTCGAAGTTTTCTTCTTCTTTGTGCCGCGTGACTTAAGGTTGTGAACGATTACGGCTCTCTACAACTTCCTATCCTTTCTAGCTCTAATCAATGTTCGTCCCATCGCTCTTCGGACACACAAGCACGTTATTTAGATTACTCGCTGTTTTCCTCTGCTTTTCTTTCCTTCAATATATCCTGTGAGTGTCGTATTCTCCAAGCCCTTTATTATCAACCCGAGTCCTTTTTTCTGACGTCCATTTATACCAAACTATTATTGAGGTAACTTGCTTTTTCTTTTTGCCTTCAGTATGTCCTGTGAGTGTCAAATTCTCCGGTCCCTCTTTCCTCATTATGTATCCTAGAAATTTTAACTGTTTCTTTCTGACTGTAAGTATATACGCCATTTGTTGTACCTTCCTTAAATCTTCCTCGTTATTCGTGTTTCATTCCATTGTATTCTCAGTATCCTTCTGTAGAACTTCTTTTGATTTGGATTGTATTGCATTCAGTCGAATATAGAAAGCTTGATATTACATGACAGTTTTAAATGATTTTCTTGATTCCCAACGCAATTTTCCAGTTTCTTAATACTTTAGAATTTACCGTCCTAGGTATGACGATAAAATATATTCGCATCCTGGGTAAGACGATAATCTACATCCGGCAGCAAGGCCTCCGATCAGAAAGTTTTGAGGAGCGTAGAACCATTTCTTAATTGCTGGTGTTCCCAGGTCCTGATCCGCGGTGATAGCACCTGTTAGGGTCCAAGCTCTGGGCAAATAGTTAACCCTCAAACTGGGCTCAAAACGTGTAAAAATAGGTTTTAATACAAGCAATACATTTTTGTAAAAGATTATTACCAGCAATAAATTTTTGAAGAAAAAATTATTACCAGGAATACATTTTTGAAAAAGAATATTGCCAGCAATACATTTCTGGTAATATATTAGGTTGGTGCAAAAATAATGACGTAATAATGTCGTTTTTTGGCGTATTTTTAAACGTCAAAAAACGACATTATTACGTCATTATTTTTGCACCAACTAATATATTACCAGAAATACTTAAAAAATAAAAATTCCCAGCCAGAAATAAAAATCTTGACGGCATTAAATAACCCACTGAGGTTGATATACCGTAAACCAAACCAAACCAAACCAAACCAACCAACTTTACAATTAAAAGGTATCTTTTACTATTCCACTGCTTTAGTTTCTTCGTCCATTGTGTATTGCATATAAATAAGAATTTATATAGCATATATTATGATTATACGTATACGGGTACTGGAAACTAAACAAAGTATCCCTGAAGCCATTCTGAGAGGATCGTTAAAAATTACTGCATCAAGAACGCATTGGACAACAAACATGAAATTGTTCTTGAGGAAGAAGGACAATATGGTTCTGTGGACGTTGACGTCATCGGATATGATGTTCGCTACTTTGCTGACAAAACCGATGGGATTATTACGGGGGTGGGTTTTTGACACGGAGCGTAGTGAACCAAACTGAAATGAATCTTCTTCGTTATGCCCCCCCCTGAGTACTTAGGCGATCATGGCTCTCCACAATATCCTAAGTTCTTATAAAATCAAATAGAAATAGTCTAGTCACGTCTCATGTCTCTCGTCTCGGAGACAACAGGTGCGGACTCTTAGGACCACCGAATTATCACCTAGGTGGAGAAAAAGAAGCAGACAAAGGCAAAATGGCACGACGACCCATTGTAGCGAGAAATAGGAAGGGGTGGAGGTCAAACAGGGAAGGGCTCCTCGAACAGGAGTGAGAAGTCCCTGGATTTATATTTGAACTTTGTTTCACATTAGTTCGTTTGGACGATTTACTTTCGTCATACTGTTCCGAATGTGGCGACACGCGTAGATGAAAAAAATTAATTATTGTGTGTAGTATAGTTTTAGTCTTTAATTATTGTGTATAGTTCATTATTTAGTTTTAATTATTGTGTATAGTATAGTTTTAGTCTTAAAAATCTGGCAAAGGAGCGTATTATAGACGAATAATTATGGCACTGACCAGAAAAATAACGATAATTTTGTTACACCCTCCTGGTTTTTCACTAAATAATTTTCAACTTATTAAACTTGTAGACTATCCTACTAAATATTTCAAAATGGGGAAGCGGAAGCATTTGAAATGTTTGTAGTATCAGCCGATGCTGGAATTTATTTTTTTAAATAAATAGGCGTGGAAATTTAATATTACATTCCCAAAAGGCCGTCGGTGTTTATAGTGAATATTGAAATGATTAAAAAAATTGCTTAAATTACAGCAGAAATGTACAAACCCTTGTACGAAATTTCTGGGAGCTGACATTTTTAGGAATACGGTATTTTTCGGATTTCTGAATGACAACAAATGTATTTTATATAGAATAGACATGTCGATGTTCAGGATTGGCAAACTGTCGGCAGTGGAAAATATTCACACTTAGTGGGATGCATTGAAACTATAAATAATATTATAGTTTATTTTTTTAAAGCGAAAAACGAAATGAAGTAAAGATGACAAATAAAATTAATGAAATATTATTTATAACAAAAACAAAAAAAAAAAACAAGAACTTCGGACAATAAATTGAACAGATGTATTTTATCTTTCCAGGTCATGATCTGACATTTTATCTGGTACAACCTAATATCATTTTCTATGCCTTGATTATATGTTTCTCTTTGGATAGAGAAAAAAAAACAAATCGGGAATCTATTCTCAGAAATAAAAGAAAGTGATGCTTTTATTATACCGAACGCTAAAACGATCGTCCGAATTTATATCTGGCCACACCCAGGTGCATTTGAACATAATCCGTTTGTAGTTGAAGAACACGTTGTCTGTTCGTTTGTGTTCAGACAGGTAAAAAAAAAAAAAACGAGAATCAGAGAAATACATAAAAGATGCACTAAGAAGAATTCCCTTTAAACGTAAAGAAGGGTCATATCGAATCTTTCTATGTACAACCTATGGATCGGCAAATAGTCCATCTTCAAGAACGTCACAACATCATACGGTTAATAAGCTGGCGAAAAGGGAAGCTGTTTGCTTTTACCAGGTACCCTTTTTAACTATTTATTTACGATTTACCGTAATTTCTCGAAAATAATACGCACCCTAATAAATGATCCAAAAGGTAAGAAATATATCTATATCTATGTTTAATACGCATCTATAAATTTTGTCAAAAAGAAAAAAAAATAATTAAGAAGACATTTTGTCGACTTTGACATTAAGAATAAAATCGAAACTAAAATAATGTTGACAATTACCATGCAGTTTTCCCGCTAAATATAACATTTCATTTTGCCGCCAAAATGTCGTCAAAACGCGCGAGTTATAGTGTAAATTTTAAATAAAAAGTAATAGAATTAGCAGAAAGAATAGGAAACAGACCTGCAGCTAGAGAATATAAGTTCAATGAGGCTAACATACGTTTATGATGAAAGAATAAAAATTAACTAAAAAAGTGTAAATCAAGTGCCAAAGGTAGAGGAAGAAAAACTCAATATCTAGATATGGAACAAACTTTAGTTGAATTTGTGAAAAAAAGACGATCAAGTGAATGGTCCAGAAATACTGTGGAAATAAGGATGAAGGCAAAAGAACTTATGAAAACCATGGAAATACATTTAAAGCTTCAGCAAACAAGTGTTTTCCTTTTATAAAGAGGTTTGATATATCTATTAGAAGAACATCCATAGCCCAGCGTTTGCCTGGTGACTGCGAAGATAAGCTTTTGAATTTTCAGCGTTTTGTTATTCAGCTAAGAAAAAAGCAGAACTATCCTTTAAGCTGTATTGGAAATGCTGACCAAACGCACTTGACATTTTTTTCGCCAAGTACGTATTTATTATTAAAAATCAATAACGAAAAAAATATCTTTGTTTAAACCTATTTATAATACTCACCCCTACTATCACCTGTAATTTACAGTAAAAAAATGGCGAATTATTTTCGAGAAATTACGGTAGTTATTATGTATATTCGTGGCAGAAAATGTCTTACATTTTCGCTACAAAACCAGCGTTTAGTAAACACTAATAGAAAAAACTGCAGAGCTTCGTTGAATCTCTCCAGATGAAGATGAAGTGGGCAGTACTGGTAGCATATCGGAGTCATTTAACATACCCAGCGCTGTCAAGCAAGGCTGCGTCCTTGCCCCAACACTCTTTGGGATCTTCTTCGCCTCGCTCATGAAGCATGCCTTTGACACGAGAACATAGGGCGTCTACCTTCACACCAGATCGGACGACAGGCTGTTTAATCTTGCACGCCTCAAGTCCAAAACAAAAGTACATGAGATGCCTGACCAGAAACATGTTGTTTGCGGATGCTGCCGCTGTCGCAACCCACACACAAGAGGAGCTCCAGACCCTGATGATCCGTTTCTTTGAGGACTGCAGGGACTTTGCGCCGGCTGAAAAAAGACAAATTTCCTAGGACATGATGCAGACGTGATTGAGAAAGCAGCAACCACATTCGCTCACCTCACCATACGAATGTGGGAGAACTCGAAGCTCTCTGTCAAGACAAAGATGGCAGTCTACAACGCATTCGTCATAAGCACACGTCTCTACGGGAGTGAGACATGGACGACGTATGCCAAGCAGGAGAAGAGACTGAATAGTTTACTTGAGGTGTATCCGCCGCATCCCCGGCGTATCGTGGAAGGACAAAGTGCCCAACACTGAAGTTCTGTCTCGCGCCGGCCTAACAACCATGTCCATTCCGTTCAGACAGTATAGGCTCCGATGGCTGGGTCATGTTCGTCGTATGGAAGATGGCCGAATTCCCAAAGACATCCTCTACGCGGAACTTGCAAATGGGAAAAGTGACACCGGTCGGCCTTAGTTGCACTACAGAGATATCTATCAGAGGGAGACGAACTACCTTGAGATCAACAGTGACCACTAGGAGGGAGGACCTTTCCGCTGACTGTTCTGACCCTGACTAAACAACTAATGTCAGGAGAAGAGAAACTGAACAACATAGCAGAAGACAAGCGAACCCACAGAAAAGAACGTTGCAGCATAGACAACACACAGGCAGTTCACAGGTGTGACTTGTGTGACAAAGTCTGCCACTCGCCATATTCAACCACAGGCGGCTCCAGCGGTGCACATGGGTGGTATCAAATCTATGGTCATTGGTGACCAGCAGAGGTCTTGTTGAAAGGTAATATTAACCGTTTCGTTATAAGGAAACCTTCTGTATACGTTGATCGATCAGCTTGTACTACTGTCGGTTGAAATTTATAAAATCTTTCTCCATTTTTCAGTAACATAGGTTTCTCAAGTCCAGTAGCTGTTATCGCTCTTTCCGGTATGGATGGGGGTTTCCTTCCTAATCTTTTGTATGAAATAGAGTGTAATATCAACGTCTTGATTATGTTGTTATTTTCTCTTCGAGTGACATGGGATATCGGTTTTAGCTGCAGCTGCTGTTGAAAGTTATTTATATGTTTATTTTTATCTGGTTACTATATATATATATATATATATATATATATATATATATATATATATATATATATATGAGATATCAGGCTGTTTCCATCTATCTATCTATCTATCTATCTATGTCAGGCTATTCTTATCTATCTATCTATCTATCTATCTATCTATCTATCTATCTATCTATATATATATATATAGTGGTACTTGCTTGGAAAAACCTTAGGTATTTAGCCTTGTAGTTGAACAAACCAGTACCCAAGGAAAAATAAGGAATAAAAAAAGAAAGAACTAAGAACATGAAATTGATGCGAAAATAATCGTCCAGAATTCAAGCTCAGAGTCCAAAGAAAAAAAAAAAACTCCAAAACGACGAACTACGTAAAGTGCTCAATACACGAAGCAGAGTAAACCTAATATAAACCTAAAGAGCCAGGTAAACCTACCTAGGTTTCACCTAAACGGATTGTCAAAGTACAACTGGCCAAAGAGGTAAAAATGGAACAGAATATATATCTTAAACCAAAAAACAACCATAACCACGTGACCCCCAAAAAGTAAAAGCAATAAACACTCAACAACGCGGTGGGAGGGGGGTTTAGGGGTTACGTTCTTTATTCAACATATTATACATACATACATCGCAAGGAAAGTTGGCTCCCTGTACCGCGCCAGGAAATTTTTTTCCCCAGAATCGATCCTTCAGATCTACAAATCTACAATTCGCCCTTGCATGGAGTATTGCTGCCATATATGGTCTGGAGCCCCTACTGTTTGCCTTGGGGTTCTTGATAAGCTCCAGAGACGGATACGCAATATAATTGGCCCTGTTCTGGCATCTCGTCTACAGTCACTCTCTCACAGACGCGCCGTCATCTCTCTCTGTCTTTTTTACAAATACTTTCATGGTAATTGCTCCGAGGAGGTTCCCATACTTCATGAGTTCAAGCGCCCAACGAATGTAGCCGTCTCTTCTACTTCAATAGCTTCACGTCTTGCACCTCTCACCTGTGGAACTCCCTTCCCTATTACTGTTTCCCTGAGAGCTATAATCTCCAACTATTCAAATGTAATGTCAATCGATATCTCCAGTTGCCTTGATCTATCCACTGTCCTTCTCCTCATCCTTTCCTCTATCACTCCTATCTGATCTTGCTCCAAATCTTCTGTAACCCCTTGCGTCCTAGTGGCTTTTCCGGGGTATATATATATATATATATATATATATATATATATATATCAGGCTGTTTCTATCTATCTATCTATCTATCTATCTATCTATCTATCTATCTCAGTTTGTTCATATCTATCTATCTATCTATCTATCTATCAGTCTATTCATATCTATCTATCTATCTATCTCAGTTTGTTCATATCTATCTATCTATCTATCTATCTATCTATCTATCTATCTATCTATCTATCTCAGTATGTTGCTACCTATTTATCCATCTATCTGAAACAATTTTATTTTTATATTTTCGTTATGGAAATCTTGAAAAATGAACCCGCTGCTTCCTTTGGGGCAGTGTCAAATGGAGTCGGATACCCACTGTGCCGTAAATATGTTTTATTTAGTTATTTGGCTCGCCCAAATGGGAAAAACCTGCCATTTTGTCTCTCAACTCCACGATACACGGGGATGACATATACGTATGTGCCTCTCTCCGCCGAAACGCTGTCATTCTGTTGATTCATGCAGCGCTCTCTCTGGATCAGCTAACCAGAATAAGTCATCTCTCCCTCGTCCCCTGCTGGCCAAACGTCAATGTTTATATTATATAAATAGAAGAAAATATGCCAGGGTCAGATTCAGCGCACTCGCTTTAATATACACCTGTCTCCCTAAATTAGGGAATATTTACATTGCGACATTATTATTATTGTTATTATTATTATTATTATTATTATTGTTGTTGTTGTTGTTGTTGTTTTATTTCCTTTGGTTTTTGGTTTCTGGCGTATACTCATTTCTTTCCGGGTCCCGACCAGAGACCTAAGGTCAGAAATGGCACCATGACCTTTTCCACTGAGCAGTTTCAAAAAAAAGAAAAAAAAAAAAAAAAAAGAAACCGCACATATTTTACAGAGATAAGATGTGGGCTGTACTTGTGTATGCAATATTTTGTATGGGTTACCAGGGATTCTTTCAATGAGTCTATTGGAATCTTTTCTGATCAATCCTAGGGCTCCAACTACAACTGGAATGTTAATGTCCTCATATGCCACATTTTTGAGATTTCAATTTCAAGATTCTTGTATTTTGATAGTTTTTTTTGAAGATCTTCAAAGATACATTGCAGTCTGTAGCGACTGTCATGTCAGTAAGGAGGCACATTTTGTCTTTGGGGTCCCTAATCACGATGTCAGGACGATTAGTTTGATTGTTCTGTCAGTGTGTATTGTGAAGTCCCATAAAATTGTTGCAGGTCCTATTATCATTATTATTATTATTAAAAATAACAAGTATTTTACCACACTACGACAAGAAATAGATTTAAGAACAGAAAAAGAAAGCAAAAGACGCGGTGTGCAAAAATGTTTAACAATATTTCGATAGTATGTCGGTATTTTTCACGTTATGTTTAAAAATTGTATACAAGTATTTCAAAAAAGAAGAAATGGCTCAGTACATAATAGCGCTGGTTTAAGTGAACAAGTAAATTGACCCAGATAGTTGCGAGTTCAATACCTGGCGAGAGCAGAGGTGAACAAAGTTAGTAAAGGGGAAAATATTAAAGGCAAAATAACTGCAACTGAGATATAGGGAAGAGGACATGGCACGTGGAACTAGAACGATCTACCTCGGTAGGGTTTTATTCGCAATTCCAGTCACTTGAAGAAGGCCGGAGCGTACAACGCCCGAAACATCGTGAGTATGGCAGCAAAGATAAGGACAACAGTTCGAACAATATAAATAGTGTAAATAGTTACAATACTTCATCTCAGAAATATCGACAGATACTGAAGAAGGCCGAAGAGTACAACCGCCGAAACATCATGAATATATATCGACAGATCCTGAAACTTGTTCTTTTATTGTCCACTTATCATCTCCTCCCACTCCTAGTAACCCCCGTGCGTCTTAGTGGCATTATCATCTTACTTGGGGTGAAATTATTAAAGAAAATAATTTAGCATAAATCTTATGGAAATCGCCTGACATTTTCTTAATTCCTCCAGTGACGGGTGTTAGTAATTTGCATATTTAATGATATTTAAGCGTTTCAAGTATTGAAAGGTTGGTGATTTCTGGATAGTTTTTCAGAAAATGTCCCTTAAGGTGTTCGTCGAAATTAGAGTTGTTTGTAATGCAATATTCCACAAGTTTTGTTGACGTCACATTGTTGTGTCGGACATCAAGTCTGTAGGCATTGAATATTTTGTATAAATTTTCAGTTTAGCGACCCACATAAATCAAATAATAATAATAATAATAATAATAATGATAACCAATCAAAGTTAACCGCCCAGACATTGTTATTAGAGATTGCAAACAAAAAAAGTGCCTCCTTATTGATATGGCAGTCCCTGCAGACTGCAATGTATCTTTCAAGATCTTCAAAAAACTATCAAAATACAAGGACCTTGAAATCGAAATCTCAAAACTGTGTCACATGGGAACGTCAACAATCCCTGTTGTAGTTGGAGCCCTCGGATTGGTTGGAAAAGATTCCTGTAGACTAACTGAAGGGATTCCTGGAAATCTATGTTTTAAAGAAATACAAAAAATTGTTCTCACGAGTAGAGCCCACACCTTACGAAGGGCTTTATCTATGTAAAATATGTGTTTTTTTTGTGTTTTTTTTTTTACATTGGTGTTGTAGAGTAAACGAATCCCTCGTCGCCAATGTGTTGTAGAGTAGTTTTCACAGTGGAGGCTTGTATTTCACTAAGTCGGTCCTAAATTAGGTCCGACGTACAAAACGTTAGGAACTTGAAAATAATAGTTAATGACGCAGCAATCTAGTTGTGGTGGTTGATACTTCAATGTCCGACATCGACTGACTCACTCAACTCCACTGAGCCCAACTGGCGATCGCTGCTACTACTACTACTTATTATGTGTGGGAGAGTCTATTACAATAGAATAGGTAATGTTCTAGTATAACAACTGGTCAGTGGAAAATGTCATGATGCCATTTCTAACCTTAGGTCACTGGTGGGACCCGGAAAGAAATGTGTAAATGCCAGAAATCAAAGGAAATAAAATAACAATGATGATAATAAACTATCAAAATACAAAGAGTTGAAGTGGAAATCTCAGAAATGTGGTACACGAGAACATTAACAATTCCAGTTGTAGTTGGAGCCCTCGGATTCCAAGAGACTCTCTGAAGGGATTCTTGGTAGCCCATGCCTTAAAGAAATACAACAAATTGTTTTCACGAGTACAATTCACATCTTACGAATGGCTTTATCTATGTAAAATATGTGTGAATTTTTTTTTCAAAATTGCTCACTGGAAAATGTCATGATGCCATTTTTGAACTTAGGTTTCTGGTTGGGACCCGCAAAGAAATGAGTACACAGCAGACATCAAAGGAAATATAATAATAATAATGTCGGTCGCACAACTGAAAATTTAAGCAAAAGATTTAATAGTCACAGCTATGATGTACAATGTAATAATAATAATAATAATAATAATAACACTACCAACAAAAAAAAAACAAAAACAAAACAAAAACAACAATAACAACAACAAAAAAAAAACGAATACCATCTACGCCAAACGAGTAAAACTTCTTGAATAAAGAAATTTAAAAAAAAAATGTGAGGACAAGACGTTGTATGGTTAAAACCTAAAAAGAACGAAAGAACCAGATGTGGAACAACAGTAAACACATCAATGTCTATGGAGCAACGGGTTGAAAGCTGAGACAGAAGGTCTAATTATTGTACCTGAGGACCAAAGCCTCGTAACCAGATCCTATCCCTGTTAAATAATCCGAAATGCAGGATCTTCGGAAAATATGATAAAAACTGTCGACCATATTATCTCAGTACGTCCGGAACTAGAAAAAAAATGAATATATCCAGAGACATAATAAGCTAGCGACATATGTGCACTAGAAAATATGCAAGAAGCACAAAATCAAAACCACTGAGGGATGGTATGAGTACCAACCAGAGACAGTTACACAAAATAATGATGTAACTATCCTCTGGGACATACCAATTCAAATTAACAGGGAAACAACAGCCAATAGACCTGATATTATCATAAAAGATAAGATAAGAAAGTATATGTGTATTGTCATAACAGTACCATCTGAGAGAAACAACTCCATGAAAATTATCGAGAAATTGTCCAAATACAATAGTACTCGAAGCTCTGGGTCATGTGAGGAAAAGGAATGGACAATCTTAATAACGGGCCTTATATTGAGTGAAATTTATATATATATATATATATATATATATATATATATATATATATATATTAATATATATAATGTCTAATATATAGATATATATATTAGACATTATTAAGATATTTTATGTTTAACATTCTTTTTATAGATACAAATATTTAAGTAAATGCTCTGTTTATAATAAACAGTATTAAACAACATTTGAATGTCCGAGAAATGTCTTAAAATAATTGTCGGACTTTGTCCATTTCATAATGTGTGACGTCGTTTGTTTACATTTGATACGCCAAGAGCAGATATGAATGTACCCGAGACATTCATGGAAGATTGAAGTTTAAATACAGTAAATTCGACCTTGCTAAGCAAATTAGTAAAGGCACGTCAAGCTAAATGACTGTTCCGTATAGGATACTGGTTCGAATCCTGTCGGAGGACGAATATTTTCTGTGAAAATTTCTCGGACATTCAGGCCGGTAAATGTTGTTTAATACTGTTTATTATAAACAGAGCATTTACTTAAATATTTGTATTTATAAAAAGAATGTTAAACACAAAAATGTCTTAAAATAATTGCCAGACATTGTCCATTTCATAATATATATATATATATATATATATATATATATATATATATATATATATATATATATATAAACTGGTTTTCACCGAGAGCAGATAACATTACAATTAGACTATGAAAGACTAGCGACACCAGATGATTTATATTTCTCGCTGACAGGTGCCCGATCCCAGGGAACAGCTTGCCTGACTGAGGCTTTCCCCACGCATTGCACTAGATCTGGGAGATTAGTAGTCATACCGATGCCAGCGCCATCGACGTTTGCAGGGGCTGGGGCAGTTTTTGCCCCTGGTCAGTGTGTACACACTCGGGTTCCCCACGTTAAAACCGACTTTGTGTCACATCACGTGTCAGTGGGGAGACCAGGGTTAATAAAACTTCGATAAGTAGAGGAGAACAGCATCATCCAGTGTACAGTTTTTTTGTTGTTTTTTATTTTTCAATTTTTGGAGCATTTTAGTTAACCTGTCTCACTCTATGTGACTTGCTGTACGGATGTTTATTCTACCAGTGAAGATGTCTAATCCTTGAACAATAGCTGTAGAGTAAGCGGAAGTGAACAGCATCAACTCAAAGTAGCAAATGACAAAATTAAACACACAGCGCAAGGTCTCAGCGCAGCCTTTCGGGTTTCAAACATTCTTCTAACTTTCAATTTAATAAAATTAACTAGCCAATAAAATCAACTCCCGCCAGTAAATACACACAGGCGTCTGGAGCTTACGCAAGATCATAAAAACGAAACATTCATTCAACCCGACAGAAGGACTGACAGTAGTAAAGAGACACGAGTCAGCCTCGGCGTCTTGCCTTTCCCATCAAAGCAA